AAAATCAGCTTAAATACGGGTATTCGGTATATCACTTTCTTTGAATTTCAGGTATAAAGTATTCCTGGGTATAATTTTGGGTATATTTGGATGAATTTTGGGTATTTTTGGGTATTTTGGCGAATTTTTTTTGGGTATACTGGTATACCACTACCTCCCCCACGTGCCCGGCCCTGATTTTCATATTTCTAAAAATGATGCAACCTTCATCAACTTAACAGATCATGATAGAACGTTATATTTACTCAGCTTAAACAGTGACTAAACCTCACATACTATAGCCAAATATGCCCATCTAATGTTTCAAAAACGAAAACAGTTCCTGAGTCAAAAATCCCATTAATTAGGTAATTAAATCATAGTATAATTATTATCGATATAGTATATGCCGTATAATTTTGTTGTTTCCATTCCTATTTCTTTCTTTTTAAAAGTGTTGTAGTTGAAACAACCTTTATTGTTACTAGACCGATGCCTCCCTTTGGAGAGTAAGGCGCCATAAAGATCTACTATACTATACTATACTATACCATCCATGACTACACACAACTGTCCATCACTACCCATCACTGTCCATCACTACCCATCACTGTCCATCACTACCCAATACAGTCCATCACTACCCAATACAGTCCATCACTACCCATCACTGTCCATCACTACCCAATACAGTCCATCACTACCCATCACTGTCCATCACTACCCAATACAGTCCATCACTACCCATCACTGTCCATCACTACCCAATACAGTCCATCACTACCCATCACTGTCCATCACTACCCAATACAGTCCATCACTACCCATCACTGTCCATCACTACCCAATACAGTCCATCACTACCCATCACTGTCCATCACTACCCAATACAGTCCATCACTACCCATCACTGTCCATCACTACCCAATACAGTCCATCACTACCCATCACTGTCCATCACTACCCAATACAGTCCATCACTACCCATCACTGTCCATCACTACCCAATACAGTCCATCACTACCCATCACTGTCCATCACTGTCCATCACTACCCAATACAGTCCATCACTACCCATCACTGTCCATCACTACCCAATACAGTCCATCACTACCCATCACTGTCCATCACTGTCCATCACTACCCAATACAGTCCATCACTGTCCATCACTGTCCATCACTACCCAATACAGTCCATCACTACCCATCACTGTCCATCACTACCCAATACAGTCCATCACTACCCATCACTGTCCATCACTACCCAATACAGTCCATCACTACCCATCACTGTCCATCACTACCCAATACAGTCCATCACTACCCATCACTGTCCATCACTACCCAATACAGTCCATCACTACCCATCACTGTCCATCACTACACAATACAGTCCATCACTACCCATCACTGTCCATCACTACACAATACAGTCCATCACTACCCATCACTGTCCATCACTACACAATACAGTCCATCACTACCCATCACTGTCCATCACTACACAATACAGTCCATCACTACCCATCACTGTCCATCACTACACAATACAGTCCATCACTACCCATCACTGTCCATCACTACACAATACAGTCCATCACTACCCATCACTACACAATACAGTCCATCACTATCCATCACCATCAACTCTCCCCCCCTTGGGCGGAGCACTCAGTCCCCATCAACTCTCCCCCCCTTGGGCGGAGCACTCAGTCCCCATCAACTCTCCCCCCCTTGGGCGGAGCACTCAGTCCCCATCAACTCTCCCCCCCTTGGGCGGAGCACTCAGTCCCCATCAACTCTCCCCCCCTTGGGCGGAGCACTCAGTCCCCATCAACTCTCCCCCCTTTGGGCGGAGCACTCAGTCCCCATCAACTCTCCCCCCTTTGGGCGGAGCACTTAGTCCCCAGGGCTTAATAATAAAAACAGTATAGATAAACTTATTTTGATACTTACCTTTTTTTAGATGCCTCTTGTGCTCTGTTTTTTTGGGGGAATAGTTGGTTACTGGCGGTCGTTTGACTACTTTTTTGTTGTAGTAATCTTGTTGTTGGTTTACGCTGAGGAATTTAGCTTTTGGTAAGGTTCAGTTTTGTCTACGAAACTGTACTTGCTTACTGAATTCAGGAGCGTAAACTTCTTTTTTTTATGATATTTTGCGGGGTGAAGACTGAATTTGCTTAATTTGTAACTAAATACAACATGTTGTCTTGGTGTATATACCAAACCAGAAGTGTCAGAGTGACAAAAAAACTCACATCGAATCTATTGGAAAGAGCAACATGAAAAGAAATATTACTTAATCGTTGGGCCTTGAGACCTTTTCAAGAATAATGACTGAGCGCGTACTTTGCCATATTTTTCGGACCAGGTGGTTATTATTATGGTCACTGAATTGAAACAGTAGGTTATTTCTAATAATGATCTTCTGTTCCACCTCAACGACCTGTTCTTAAAATTTACCAAGAATAATAACCTGTTCAAAACATTGGACTGTGTTTAGCAAAAAATGAACTTACCA